GCGGAGCCGCCGTGCGGGCGAGGCTGGAGCGAGCCGTGGGGCGCGGGGAGGGCTGAGGGCACCGCAGCAGCAGCATTCCCGGGAGCCTTCCCGCCGTTTGGCGTGTAACTGCCCCCAGCCAGCCTGCGGCTTTTCCCTCCCTCGCAGCCCGGGGGTTGCGGTCGCGGGAAGCGGCGGATGGGCAGGGAAGGGGAGCCCTTTCCCTCCCCGCAGCTTGTTTGTCTTGCCGGTGTTTACCGGCGTTTGCAATGCAGGCAGTGTGCACAGAAACGTCTGAAATGGCTGAATAGCTGTCGTTTAAGTGTCTGTTTCTAGTACTGTGMTATGAAGAGGACAGATGTGACACGTACTTGCTGCGCCGTGAGCTTTTGGATGAGCCGTATTCTTCTGGAGGCTTCACATTGACGGGTAGTGGTGGCAGGACGTCTGCAAGGTGGTCGCCTGGCCCTGCCAACCTCAGGCCCAGCCTCGGGCTCCGCGGAGCCGGCTGTCTTGGTTATCACAGCTATTTGTAGCTACGCTGCTACCTTCCCRCAGTTGTAAAGTGACTATAGCCTATATATTTTTTGTTTGTCTGTGRTTTTCCTTCTGAGTCTGTAGGACTCTTTGGCCTTTTTGTTTGCTTTTCAGTGTTTGCAGTGTTATCTCTGGGAGTATTTGGTTTTGGTTCACGTTTGGTTCCTGGAGTATCATTTAGCAGCTTTGTGCCTTGCTTTTAACCCTCTCGTATTTTCAGCAAGCTGTTGCACAAGTTTGCGGGTTGACTTGCCGGAGTTTAGCACACGTTTCAGTGCCTTTCTGCAACTATTGATTTACTGCTTGCTTRGTTCATAGACGGGCAAATAGGACTGCCAATACATGGAATTAGGAAAACTGCTCTTCTCTTAACTGGTGCGGACAGCTGTGAGCCTGTTAGAGGTTCAGGAAGGAGGCTTGGGGAGCGTAACCTCACCGACGCAGTTTGTGCCTGCCCTTGTAGTTTAGCTACCCACATAGGCTTAGAGTCCCCGTTASACCAACAGCAAACTGTCTTTATTGCTGACATTTGCTTGCTGTTATAATCCTAAAATATAAATAAAAAATACACATATTTAGTTACTTATATATAATATTATACAATGTATATAATTTCTATATAACTTTCTAATTGTAGCCTGTAGAGCAAGGGTTTAAGAAGTCTTGAAATGATAGAACAGGAAACAGGCCTTCCTAAGCGAAAGGACTTATGTTCCCTATGAATTTAGATTCCCTTGTGACCCTTGAACCTGGAATATCGTATGCAGAGATCAGATTACAAGAAAAAGATTATCGGTGCTTCTGCTGTCATATGTCTCAATARGTTTTCATTTTCCAAGTGAGCTGGTAATTTATGGTATTTGAGTGTTGAGCAACATAGGTATTTTCCTTAAGCATGTGATGGGAGGAGATAGGGAATTAGGTTAAAAACAAAACTGTCCAATGTATTTTAAAAATTCCAATGGTTTGAAAGTTTGTTACAAATTCTGGAAGTATGACTAGTTCKGGAGCAGCATAATGTAACTTTTCCCATTAATTGCGATTATTTTGGTAGTTTTTTTTTCCCTCAAAACCTACTAAATCTTTCTTAGAGGCATCAAGATTTAACCGTAGGAAACAGATTCCAGATTAAGTAACCGAGTACACAGTTCTATAAAAAGTGCTTCAAAATCTTCTAAGATTCTCTACTCTGCTTGCTTRTAATTGTTCTAAAAATTTGGAGATTTATGTGTGAATTGTTAGAATAGTTATAAAGTTCATTCTGTGCATGAGTAAAGAGATATGAATCTCCCAKACCTTCAGTACAGCAAATTTCATCATTCTGTTAAAAAACAAACTTTAAGGAGTGTCCTTATTCTTCATCCGAAATAGATCAAGAGTTTGGCTTGGAGTACTACAACCTGCAGCCATAATTAGAAAGTAGGTCATTCTGGTTTGTCACTGATTTCAATCGTAGGAATTCCTCTTTACACCTAAAGGCATAATATAAATATATATTTATTATATATATAATTTGTCTCCAACTCTTCTTTTCCTTATTGTGTAAAAACTAAAGCTGTTTTGTCACTGTTTTTAGTCATGCGCTTGCTTTCAAAGACTAAACCTGCTGGATGCTTTCAGTGACGTGCGCTTCTCAAGTTTGTTTTAGAAAGCAAGGAAACAGTACAGCTTAAGTGAGAATAAAAGCAGTTTTAAACATTTGAATTKTATTTCAGCTGAAGGCGGTACATGTGACAAGATGGGGATGGAGTTGATGGAGTTTCCATTTCTGTCCTTCGTGACCTCAATCTTCCGTAGCTGCTGTGGGAATCGGGGCTGCCTTCTTTGGAATAAAATTGTTCAGGGCCTGAGAAGCTGGCTTGCCAGCGGTATTGGCCCCGGCACACCAAGGTGTTAGCCAGGAGCAGAGTGAGTGTTTGTTAAGCAGCCGTGCCACGTCTCCCAGTTATACGTGACATGCGGTACACGAGTTGAACTGGCCTGTCTGGTTTCGTAGTGTCGATCCCGCAGAAGCAGCTCTCGGGCACCGGCTCTGCGTTGCAGCCTGCCGCGAGCAGCTGCTTGTCAGGGCAGACCTGGGAACGGTATGGAGATGAAATACGATGCGATTAAAATGATTCGGGCTTGAGCCGGCGTGTTGCTTTTAGTACGGTAGAAGGAGGTGCTGATGGCGAGTATGGAACATGCATAGAAATGCTTGAGGCCCTGGACRGCTTCCTAGTGTGAGCGAGCACCTGCACCTGGAAACTCTCTGGCTTTAAAAAGCTGTTTGTTTAAATGGGCATTTTTCTGAGCCACCAATATACATTTGATTGCACTTTGGCATCATAGCACAACTTCTTTGGCTAGGTAAAATACTTTGAGGTTACTTAATACTGGCATTGATTTTTATAGAGAGCAACTTTGAAATAATTATWGAATCAAGGAGAACACTGATTTATGATGTAAAGCTGCAGTCTATGAAGAACTGTCTGGTCAGAAAGTGTTGTCTTGCCCTCCTTGTAGATATTTTTCTCTGCGGCGCTTAGTTGTTTTTGCTTTTAATATCCRTGATGTTTTTAGGCGTATTGGGGAAATGGAAAGTCAGCCTTCTAGSTATGTCAAGCTGTCAAAATAGACTGTGTTGTAAGTTGATGTTGTATRATGTTGCACAAGAAGCTGTGCTAGTGAAGAGCCGAATGTCATGATGAGCAATAGGATTTTCCCAAGTTGTCTGAAATAGTCGCTCTCGAGAAGGTTGCATTGAAGGTGCCACAGAGCCCATTCCGAATGCCAGGTGGCTGCAGGGAAGGAGGGTCCCGCATGCCGATAAGTGACCTTCCCTCATCTGAAGTGCTTGTCCTTGCTCCAGCTCTGTGCCACGTGTTCATAAGCTGTTGCCTAAGCAGCTGTTGCTGCTCTGGCAGCAATGCAGAGCTCAGGTTAACAAGTACTATGTTTCTTTCRCTATTAATTTTCAGTAGTTTATGAAATATGTCAAGTATTGGGCTTATTTCCCTTCTGTTGTGAATTTAAGATGGAGAATATTATTCTGTATTGTAACCACAGACTTATTTTTCCAGATCAAAGTATTTTAGAACATGTTCAACAGGAGAACACTTCACTATAGAGGTGAGTACTCACATTTATAGCAGTTCTAAATGGGGAAGAAAAGGTTGTTTGTTTTGTTCTCAAGCAATACCCCCTTAATACTTCTTACAGTTCATGTAGAATGAAATATTCCAGATCATTCCGGACTGAATTGATGCTTCACTGAAAGCCAAGATACTGGTTCCCATGCTATCTTCAGACTCTTAATACATCATCTCATTTACTCTGTGATTTACAGAGACTTAGAATATCCATCGTTACTTGATCATCAGCACCAAATCATCCAAACGTCTGTGAATTGCGTTTTTCCTCMCTGCCGAGCTCGAGTGCGTGCCTGGGTGTGTGTGTGCACGCACGCAATGTGTAGTTGGTATGGAGGTCAGGAAGGAGTGCTGTGATAGGTGCTGCCCTCCATGCTTGATAYACTGATTCCAGGTGCACCTGGAAACAGTGTGGAGCATTTTCATTTGCTTAGTTTCATTTTCATATGGTATTTCGATATCTGCTGTAAGAGTTTGTGCTGCTTAGAATGCTTTTCAGGTGTTTTTGACTGGTTTGGGCTCTGCATACTTGACTTCCTTTCGTAAAGGGAAAAAAGAATTCTGGATAGAGGGTAACACAAGGTTTTCTGTAAATTAGTAATATATCTTCAAGTACTTTGACAAGTTGCCATGTGAGGTAAAAGTTACTTGAATTGTGCCTTTCAAATTTTCTATGCTTTTAAGTTAAAACGCTGCTTTGGCTTACGCAAGAGCCGCAGCCCTCCTGGCACTGCTTGCATTAGAATGTGTCAGATAGGGGCCTACAAGCTACTGAGACCTCACTGATTGTCAGGGCTCTCACATGAGATATAGTGAAGTGTGGGAAGATTTTTAATTTTGACTCTTGCCCTTTCAGAGAATGTAATGTTTTAAGACAAGAAATCCTGGTGAGAGTAGGCCCTATTCTAAAGGTAATTCTTGCTGAGAAAGTAGAGGCTTTCATAAATAGTATTGTAGTCCATATATTACCATTGGAGTAGTGTTTTTACAGAGTAGATTAAACATGTAATCATACTAGGTGATTTGTGATGTGCTATACTGGATTGTTAAAGACTATTTACTTTTTTTCCCTCTGCAGTTTGAGAACCTAGTGGAAAGTGATGAGGTAAGTACTAGAATGATAAAGTAAAACCTGCTAGTACAATACATTAGCTTAAAAATATTATAAATCTAAAACTTCACTTAAGGATTTATTTCTTGTATAACTCTTGTACAACATGCATCAAACTTGTACTCTTGTACAAGATGCATCAAACGCTCTGTCTCTGACCCAACGGGACCATGAGTTGTCTTTTCAAAGTGTTGGCAGCACTCTGTCCCAAAGACAGATTATGGGTCARCTGGTCAAAGCTTTTCTTTTTCAGGAAAAAGTAGATCTTCACTGTTAATTTAATACACTATTCTTTTTTTTCCCATTAGCTTGATAACAGGGAAAAAGTGTTTTCAGTACCCTGCCCTGTATTTTAAAAATGAAGACTACTAGGTTGGCTCCTCACGTGCAGCAACGGAATGTTTTTTTTCACATGGAAGCCTTTTTTGCTTTGAGTCAGCCAATTCAGATTCATGACAAGATCCTTTGAAATTTGAAATAAAAACAGTATAATGGAACATGTTTTCCTTCCTATTGTAAAACCAGATATGGAGGAAACTTTTTTTTAACCTCTCTCTATCTCTAAATTAATTGATTAACGGGTCTCTCAGAAACTTAGGGTTTTCTTGGTTTTGTTTTTTAAACAGGGGGAAAGCCCGGGAAGCAGTCACAGGTAAGACTTCGAGATACAGGACCCTCTCCTTCTCTGTGCTTTCCTCATATGATTGTTCAATTCCTGATACTTCCCATCAAAAATGTCAGCATTTAACAGGGTCAGCATTTAAAGCTGCACAGGTTTTAAGACTGCAGGTTCAGTGGATCTTTTAGTGAGCATATTAATATTTATGTAAATAGCAGTTACTTAGACGTCTTGATAGGTAATGGGTTTTAGCACTGAAACGGGCGCTTTGGTTGCCTAATTCTAGTTATCTTCTATTACTTCATCTTGATAGTTCCCCAAATGTAGATTTCAAGCCAACACTCTGGGAAAAGGTGTTGGACATAGCAGACTTGACAATTATAACACTTTTGCARTCTTATCGGGAAGACATACAGGAGCAACAAATGCTCTTGCATGACCGGAACAAATAAGAAAATAGTGACTTCCGTAACAATGGTGGTTTAAGTATTCTGTTCCTTTTAAGAAAACATGTTGTGGGAAGATGCTTTCTTTACAGATACAGAGAATGTTCTACAGAGGCAAGAGGAGAGAGCTAATAGTCTTGAGTAAATTGGAACCTCGATCTTAGGAGGGGGTAAAACAAAAGCACAACTTGTTGATTTTTAGGTTACAGGACCAGTCAAGAAAGACTGTATGAATGTACTTAAGTTACTTGGGCAAGTCGGAGTCCTCAGGAATAAATAATAGTTGCGGTCTTTTTATGTTCCTCCCATGCCTGTAGGCCTCTGACTGAGGAAGAAATTGCTGACTTGAAAGAGAGGCATTATGACTCCATTGCTGAAAAGCAGAGAGCCGTTGATATGAAACTTCAGTCAGAGGTAAACAGTTACGATGACTAGTGCGGTGTGGGCAGCTTTTTTTCKTGTATTCAGTCTTAACCATAAGTGCAGTGAGATCTTACAAGAACAAAACGATGTGTTTGTGTTCATCTCTTGGGTTTTTATTAGACTGCTAGATACCCAAAGAGATTGACTGCTGTGAAATGAAGTTGCCATCAGGGATGGTTCCTTTTCATCCATCTCTCAGATGGCAATTTGAATAAATGGGCTAGTTATTTGTGCATAAGAATTAAGCCATAATTCTTTTCATGTAAAAGGTAAAACAGGTAGGATACTTGATTTGGTTTTTCTTGTGCTGAGTTTGTTTAGAGTTTTTTTTTTCTTAAGCAAAGATCCTAATTTGTCATTTTGAGCATTGCAGCAGTTAATGGAATATGATGTGGAATACCGTGTAGAGATTAAGAATCATCTTGAATGAATACATGTTTGAAAAGTTTTAAGCCTTTCACTGTGCAGTTCATCATGTAATGCAACCGTGCATTTACAGCAACTCGCTGTTTTCCTAGTAATGATGTTTGTTTCATAGGGAAATGTTGAGCTGTCTGCATATCATGGGATTATTGTTGTGGGGGGAGCTGTCTAGTTCTCTTAATGAAGAAAAAATGTTTTAAATAGAATTGATTTTATTTTATTTTTATTTTCTAGTAGCTCTTCTTTTAATTTATTGGAGTTATGGCTTTATTCATAGGAAGATTAGATAGGTTCTGCTTTTGTTAACCCTTATTGTTTTGTTCATACACAGTTAGCCTTACAAGAGGAGAAGTTAAGAATAGAAGAAGAGGCTTTATATGCTGCACAACGTGAAGCAGCCAGGGCAGCAAAGCAGAAAAAGCTCTTGGAGGTGAGGGGAAAAACACCCCAATATATATCAGAGCTTCTGTTCTCTTCTCGTGTTTCAGACTTTCCTAATGTCCTTTACATATGAGGAAACATAATGAGGAAATTGCTTTGCTTTGGCTTGTAAATTACAGTGGAGAAAGAAATAGCAACAAATGCCTGATTTGAAATTACAACCGACTGGGACAACTGAAAATGAACAAAATTGTTTGAAATTTCTTCAGACACTGAATACAAACCCTGAATGATAGATTTTTTTTAACACAGAATTTGCTTAACAGATTTGCACTATAGAGAAGTCTACTGCTGTTCATATAAAGTGATCTATGATTGTCTTCTAATGAAAAAAATATAAATTAAGTACACATTATGATGTCCTTATATTAACAAAATACAGCTTAATATATGTTACTTATATGCACTGTTTTCCATTCTGTATGATTTGTTTTAACATGAAGAGAAAAGGGTTTCTGAATGATCTGTATTCATTGTTGACTCTGCTTTGAGTCAGAAGTTGCACTAGATGACCTCCTAAGATCCCTTCCAATCTGAATTGTTCTATGATTTTGTGATTTTATTTGTAGTAGCCAAAGTCCAGTAATAAGTACTTAACAGTAGCTGTGTGGTGTGTGTGTGTGTGTGTGTGTGTTTGGAATTCCTTCTGTGCCTGCCTTCAGATGTCTTGTATTTATAACTGTGGAATGTGGTCAAGCAAAAAAACAGCCAAGTTATGTTTTCTTGCTTACTCAAAACATATGCTCTTCTGTTTTGTGAGAGCCTTTAAGACTTTTTTTTTCCCGTGTTGAAGCCSAAAGAATGTATTTTAATCCCTGTCTATCAGTTGATTCAGTATATTCACTATACTGATAAAGACATAAAAATATGTAGTCTTGTACAGATTTCAGATTGCAGGAAATGTGCAAAATCTCAAAAATAATCAGAATTGTCCTTGTCTGTGAATATATAATGGGTATGGTTGCAATTGTAGCATATTCAAGGAACAGTCCACGGGACGTGTGGTTGTGTGTGGTTTTGTGTGTATGGGTGTGTGTGTTTTGTTTGTTTGTCGTCTTTGTTTGTTATTGTGTTTTTTCTTTTTGTGATTGTTTTGMATTCAAAAGATGACATCTTCTTGAAAGAAATTTGGCTTGCTTGAATTGCCCAGTTAATTGTCAAGATTTGTAGGGTATTAATATGGGTGTTTCTTGGAACTTACAGGGCTGGATATGTGTGTATGACCTAACAAAACGAGTAGGTAAATCTGGTTTTACGTAGGTATGTGAATTTTAAAAAGGAAGTAACTGCATACATCAGAAACTTATTTTTGTTGAGTGCTTTACTATATTTCAGTGTCTAATCCCTGGCTTTTTGTCCTTACTTAACTCATCTCATTTATAACTATTAGGTGCTATTTCTACTTTTTTTTTTTTTTTTTTTTTTTTTTTTAACAAGTCCTTATCTCCTCAGCAGATTTAATCTGCTTATTCTGATGCGACTTGCATATAACGATCACTTCGGTCACATTAAATTTGATGTTACTGGGGTGAAAGGCAGCCTTTCTGTGAGCTGTACTTGGTCTGCTCCGAGTTGAGAAAGGCAAGTGCTGCTTCTGAAACCCCAGCTACGAGAGGGCTCGGGCACTGAGTACGTGTCTGAGTGATGGTCTGCCAAAACTTCAACGGCTTATTTCTTTTGGTAGCAACACAGACTGCAAAGGATAACGCCGAGAGCACATGCTGTTAATAATGGAGACTATCAGAGGTAAGATGCAAGATGTTACAAACAATACATGAGAACCAAACTGTGTTTACTTTTGCGTGTTTTGCCTTTTGCACCTACAAGTGCCATATTCCCCAGTCAGATTTGTTTTTACTCAGTTGACGGTTTTCTCCTTCACACGATGTAGTTACTTATGCATGCTTGTTGCTACCAATATTGAGGCTAGATTATATTCATTCTGGAGTTCTCTGGAGTTTTTGGAAGGAGGCATGATAAATCAAGGGTACAGTCAACTCCTCAATATATAAAACCTTTTTTGATAGAAATATATATATGTTTGTTTACGTGTGTATGTATACACACAAACTTGGGTATAAACATTATTATTTCTTTAACACTGTGTGAACAATAGTATACTTGGATAAGACTTTAATAGTGTCTCTGGAGATTTATAYAGTTTAAAGCAATAAATTCAAGTGCATTGTTTTTACAGCTCTGTCACAGAAGAAGATATTGATTCCTTTTTGAGAAATACGAAAATCCAGTATGAAGCTTTTCGAAGTAGTAGTAAGTCTTTCTTCTTTATGTATGTTTTTAAATGTGAAATGACTCTGAGGAACACAATGTTTTGATCTATATATCTATACACACACGCGCGCGCGCACACGCATATATATGCATATATATATATATATATATAAATAAAAAGTCATTATTATGTTCCTATACACTGGAAGAAAAGAAAAGGAACTCATTTTTCTCTTGAATCCGTAAGGCCTCGTGGCCTCGAAGAGCAGAGCATATTTAACTTTTCGGCACCATTCCAGTTCTCAAGGGCAGACAGGTCTTTTGTTAAAACTTTTCAGTCATCGGAGTAGAAACAGTAATCTACAGTGAATTCTTGTGAAACCTAGGTGTTTTTAAAGATGCAAATGTGTATGTATATAATGTTTTTAACCATTTCTTAGTAAAATATACTAACGTTTAATATTTATAGGACTTTCATCTGACGCTACAGTGCTGACACCGAACACGGAAAGCAGCTGTGACTTAATGACCAAAACAAAATCAACGAGTGGCAATGATGACAGCACGTCGTTAGACTTAGAGTGGGAAGATGAGGAAGGTATTTATCCTCTCATTCAATTTCTTTCTCAATTTACAGATTAAAGATACTGATAGTTTTAACTGCGGTGGTTGCAAACTTGTCCTTTCTGTAAGGGAAGGTGGCTTAAAACTTCCTTCTGATGGCATTTCTTTCAAGTGTGTACTGACGAAATAGCTGTAAGTGACCTTTACTTAGAAAATTGCTTGCTTGGTAAATGTGGTCATCTGTCCAACAAATCAATTCATTTATTTGGATCCTTCTGTAAATCCGTTTTCCTGCACATTGTGACGTCATTGCTTGTAGTCAAGTCACAACAAACTATTTGTAAAGAAATGCTGCCCTCTTATGAGCCAGTAGCAACAGGAACAGCTTCGCTTTTTTAGGTTGTGTGTGCAAAGCTACTAGCATTCTAGAGGAATGGAAGCTTGAGCTGTATGACATATATTGAAGTGTACTGGATTTTATTTTGCGACAAATTAGCACCAGTCCAGAAAAAGCATATCTGCTCTACCAGCTGTGTCTGTAGACACTGATATCTGCAACTGTCACGTTCATTTGATGGTATGGTCATTTGAAGAACTACTAGTCCTAATTTTAGGGAATTTGTAGTGTTAATATTATAATGACACTTGGCACCATAGCTCAAATGATGTCAGCAACAAAGACTGACAACAGCTTCTGAGAGCTATCAGTACCAAAGGAATAATTGAGCTGAAAAGTAGCTCTGTTGTAACAGGTTCACAAAGTGTTAACATCAAGTCCATCACTTTAGAGTCTGGAAAAGGTGAAAACTTACTTCTTGGATATTTTTTTCCAAATGTTCCCACCAAAAGTTACTTAGGCGTTTCACTTGCAACATGTAAGTTCAGTTATGAACGAGTTAATTCATTAGTCAGTTCGTACTTAAAAAGGGAATTTCCTTAAGGAGGTATGAGGAGAATTAAGAAAAATAATTAAGAAAAATGACAAGCTCAGTCCTTCCCTTTGCCTGTTGCAGCGATTGAAATGGTGTCTGATGCATCAACAACGTACATAGTATCTTGTAGTGTACGTCTCGGGATTTCTGATCAGCATTTTGCATGAGTTTAAACATATCTTTTCATAGAAATAGCTTTCCTATGCAAATGCACCCAGCATCTAAATTTTAGCTGTTTAACGTGTTTTAGTTGATGTTTAAGCGACTTGTCAGTAGGTTCGAGGTGTATKACAGGATACTATACCCAGGAGTGAAATTTCCAGGTTTTGGATCTCTAACGATGTTGTTTCTTCAATGTTTTAATGCTTCCCTCCAAATCGTTTTATCTCACAAGCATGTCTTGAACTGTAGGTATGAACAGAATGATTCCAATGAGAGAACGCTCTAAAACAGAAGAGGACATACTCCGGGCAGCCCTGAAATTCAGCAGCAAGAARACTGGCAGTCATCCAGCTTCAGCCTCGGACGATTCAAATGGCTTGGAGTGGGAGAATGACTTTGTTAGTGCCGAAATGGATGATAATGGCAATTCGGAGTATGCTGGATTTGTAAATCCTGTCTTAGAGTTGTCTACATCAGATGTAAGGATATCTGATTCTGATCAACAAGACAGGTAGTAGAACTTCCCTATGACCACATGCTTCAAAGAGCATACGAAAATTGACTGCTCTTTTATAAGAACAAGAAGGCAATGATGTTATAAATTATTTGGCAAGGAATGCAAGTGACTTGCTAACTGAATTAATTCAGAATTAAGTGCAATTTTATCATCTACCTTATAAATCTTTGTGAAAACTAGGATGAATCTATTGYGTATATTTCTGGCTATCTGGTCTAATATTATCTGCACTAATTTAAGCTTTGCAGCTTATCATGTCTATGTTTTAACTATTTTTTTTCCTGGATTGTATTTCTACTGATTTTTTTTTTAAAATTAATCATTGGTCTAACGTTTATCTCAGAAATAGTCGGATATAATTTATCTAATAATTGGACAGGGAAATCTGTTTTAATCATCTTTTTTTTTCCCCCCCCCCCGCAGTATCTTGTATATGCTTTATTTTTCAGGTATTTAGGGGCAAAACTGGCAATTGACTATTTGTGAAAGTTATTTTTCAGTTGGCTATTTTCCCTCCTAATTTGTATTCTCCCTAAGCGTGTGTTTTTTCTCCTTACTTTTTTTGTTAAACTAAGCACAATTGACCTGTATAAACATAGTATAAATCATCAGGTTAGATAAGATGCCACGTTGTGTAATGTGCCAGATAGAGTGAGAGTGCTCTAGATAGAAAGCAACTTTACAAACTCTTTATGCTTTAAACGTTTTCAAAATGGAAAAAGTCAGCATTATTTAATGGAGAACGAGGAAGACCAAAGTTTTGATTCCCTTGTACCCCCCACCTCCCCAAACCCCGCAACAGATCTGAAGATGTTGCTACACAGAGGTTAAAGTTCTTAAGTTGTTGAAGACAGTATCAGTTGCTCTGATACTAGGTTGGAAAGAACAAGAACTTAAAATCTGAGTTCATGTGTTTGCATAAAACAAAGAAGGAAGAATGTCTTTTTCTTTTTTTTCAGGTTACAAAACAGTGTATTTAAGTGCTTTAGCTTTCTTGTGCCTCTTAGTTGGTTAATTTTTCTAATATGGGCTGAAATTTAACAGGTGTTTAGTTACTGTGAATCTTGTGTGATTTTATTGTGTGATATTTCCCTTATTTTTATTGTAAGTGTTAAAAGTCATTATTTTTTTTTAACACTACCGGAAGAGGAATGAAGAACAATCACAGTCTCAAGCCTTCCCCACAGCTTCAGTAAAGCCAGGCTATTCCACGGCAGTTTTGTGTTGCTCTCCTGCTTCTCCCTAGATAAAGAGTTGGGGGTGCAGTGTCCCCATTGTGGAATAAAAGCAACACGGTTAGTAGTTGTTAGAAGAATTTAATATGCTGGTAACAGTTGTGTAGCTGTTGTAGATTATATGGGATCAGATAATGTCAGGGTCAATATGATGTGGTCCTCTTCATTTTTTTTTTTAGCTGCAGTGAAAATATTGGATATTTGGACTGAATATGTACATATATTGACATTCTCCAACAGAAATCCTTTGTTGGTAACATTCCATTTCCTCACTTAAGCTGTAGCTATGTCATGGGAAATACTAAATGTAATTATCTGCATTTGCAATGCTTGTAATATGCTTTTAAAAATTTGTACACATCAAATGTATATTTTTGGTTTGGCAGTAGCTACTCCTCTTTAACTTTTCCTAACTTGTATTCGTATGATAGCCTATTGAAAGTAAGGCAACTTTCTCAACGTGTAAATAAACACTTTTTTTACTTGCTGAAACTATAACTTACTCTACTTTTCCTTAACAGTGAATGTGAGATTAACTTGTCCTGATCATGCTTGAGGGAAGTAAACGGTAGCTGAGCATCTCGCTTTTAAAATGAGCAAGCATCTGGCAAAACTGAAGCTTTAGTTTGAACTGGAAGTTTACACTGTAACGTGTGTGTTCTGTAGCCATGGTTAGCAGTATTCCACTTCTGAATCCTATTAATGAGTGATGTGAGACTTCCTAAAGTAACAGTTCATGAAATAGAAGGATGAAAAAATTGCTTATGTGAAATAATACATTACTGTAATATATAAATCTGTACAGACTTAGTGCTCTTATTAAAGTAATTTTGAAAAGAACATCTTTAAATGAGGATCTGTATTATCCTTACCTTCACTTCCCCATTATTATTATTTTTTTTTAACCTGAAGACAATCAATAGAAACAGTTCCCCGTTGATTTGAGTACAGTTTTAATTTCATAGCATAAGTGTACCTTTTGCAAAAGTAAATCCCACTTAGCTTGGAAAAATAAAGTTTTTTTTCTACTTCAGCGGCACGGGAAGTATTTTGGAAGCTCCTGGCTAGCACAGTATTAGAGGTTTCYGTTACTATCAGGAGGAGAATAATAGCTAATAAATGTCAGTAGTGTTCTTAAGCCTCTCAGTGTTTTTTCTGTTGCTCTTTTAGGACAGCATATACTGCTCTCCTAAATGCACTGTTTCATGTGCAGTGAAAGCTGCATATGAAGATGAATAATTGAAAGGTAATACAAAATTACCTGGGCATGAGAATTTAGCATCCTGTTCCCAGTTGCCTAWTTCTCTGACCCTGTGTGTCCGAATTTGGAACAATACTAAAAATGATGGTCACCTGAAATACAGTTCGAGAGCAGGTTGTCGTCTTTGGATTAAAATCTTCATAAGCTCCCTTTCCCCCTGCTTCCCTTTTTGTAGGAATAAGACCTGTTTTTATGAACAGATGAAAAGCCTTTTCAGAGCCATAAAATTAGACTTTTCAATGATGATGCAAACTCAGAATTACCTCTGATGAAGGCACTATACAGCATATGCAAGAGGACCTTAAAACCAACTGCTTAATTTTTCATGATCTGCRTTAAACACTTTATTTATTTATTTTTAAAGCCTCCGTGGGAATTTTTCCAGGGAGCTCTTAGCCAGGCCAAGGGCTTTCAGCAGTGGCAAAGCAAGGAAGGCAGTGTAGCTTATCACGAGGCAAGCAAGCTCAAGAACGTTAAGTGGTACAAAATYGGTACGTGAGTAGTGCCTCTGATGTCCTGACTTGCAGGACACAGCAAGTCCTTGCAGCTCTAAAGCCTGCAAAAGGACAYGGAGCCTGCGTAGAGCTCGTTTGCTTTGTCCCACGCGTCGAAACGACTCGTGGACAAAATGCCTCAAAATTTCAGCACCACCAGTGCCAGCTTCTCATTTATCTAGGACTTGATGCAGTGCAACTTTCTGTGTGTCTGTTAGCTTATCCTGTGATACTGTTTTCCTGTTAGAGTCAATCTGCTGGTTGAATTAACGTAATGATAGCATCCTCCTAGGAGAGGAATAATGGTTGTGTGTATTTTACGATTGGTTTTTAGTAGCCAGCTAAGCAATTTGGGAAATGTTGAGGGTTTAGAAAGCATTTGTGTGTGTGTGTGTGTGTGTGTGTGTCTTTCTGTGCTTCCAAGAGGAATATTTTCTCTCAGTTGCTGGAGCTCTGTTTATCCAGCGTTCCACCCTGGCTCTGCGGCTGCCCAGAGTGCCTCTAGACTGCATGAATACAGAAAGTGCAGCAAGTTGCAACGCTGTGAACTCTGTGCCACAGACAGAAGACTTTCTCAGCTGAGTAAGTACTTATTGTGGATGCTTCTGCTTACATAATGCACTTGAAAATTTGAGATCAAAAATAGCACAGGATAGGGAAGCAATCTGACTAGTGGCACAGGCTAATGTCGTGTGCAGCGGGGCCAGTGAACAGAAACTGCAAAATGCTACGAGTTAGTGCACAAGGCAGTTTTAACAATCTGTTTCTGAAATTCAAAGCGGTGCAAAACAAGAATTTGCAAGTCCTTGCTAATAACTTAAGAGCACTAATAGACACGGCGCCATTTATTGGGAATGCAAAACAAACACTCCCTCCTCTCTGACACCGTGCGTCTTACGAGACGGTGATTGCAGACCGGAGCTTACGTAGGTATAAGCTTGTGTGAGATGGTGCTGTCATCTTGCTTGCTTTTTCTAGACAGCTTGTATTTGCAGTTATTTCCATCTCAGTCGAGTTAAAGAGCAGGAAGACAGAAGAGTGCTTTACAACACGCTTAACAGCCAGGCAGCCCACAAGTACTGGAAACCTGCAATCCAAAGAACACCTGGCAGCTGCTACTCAGGTTTGCTAGGCTAAGCTGAGGGGCTGGTGTCCGAGATCACCAGGGAACTGCACACAGAAGACGAAGGCATCAGAAATATCAGTACCAGACGCTTTCTCAAAGAGTAGATAACATGAGAAATCATGGGCTTTTTTTTTTTTTTTTTTTTTTTTTTTTTTCAATGATTTTTTTTTCCAAGGATGAGACAAATGGACTAATGAAATCTCTAAGCCTGTGCGGGTCTCATTGACTCTCCAGTGACTTGCTCTCTCCTGTAGTTGTTGAGCATAATTTCAGGTTATGCTGTGCAATTCCCCCTTCATTTACACTCCTGGCTTTCTCGTCCTTGCAATGCCTATTGTTGGAATGCATTCCTACTGTTGAGGAGGATAAAAGGAATAGWCTAGCACACACAAAATGTAAACCTGATACCAGTATTTCCCTGGCAGGTAGGTTTGGGATTGTTAGAGATACGTGGTTGAGGTAAACTTCTGTCACTTCTTCAGYGCTGTACAGTTGCGTTGAAGGAAGTAGTTGGCGTACAGAACAGGAAAGTGATGTCTGCATGTTTAAGATAATTAAGTTACTGAGCAGAYGCAATGCTTGATAATAACAAGGGTAACTCTTACGTACGTTCTTATGCTTTCCTGCATGTCTTTGAAACAACCTAAAATAACAAAATGGAAGGAAGCTCCARTTAAATGTTAAGCCCTTAACAAAGCCATACTGAGCTGAAATGATTTTTGAGTAGTGTTGGCTACTTGACCAAAAATTTTAACTGAAAACAAAATTGTAAGTGAGGCAGGGAAGAAGACTTGCTGAAAGCATTTCAATTGATTCTCATCTTGGAGCAGTGCCACTTTTAGAAAGCCCCGAATACTGCCAGTAACTTCTCTGAATTGTCCCGGAGTTATTTTACTCACATACGTGCTTTCAGATTACATTTCGGTAACGTAGAGGAAGACGAGTCTTACTGAGTAACAAAATGCTTTTACTGAAAATTTCAGCTGCATATTCACATAACGYGATTACTGACATAGTATGGTTATTTTCATTCACAAGAAAAGCAGTTAAATTGCAAGTTTTTTAATCTATCATAAAAATAGAAGAAATTTTCTGCGAAATGAGTTTTAAAAATTTTAGAAGGTAAAAAGGCTGATGCTGGCAAAGTATTTCTGCACTGTAAAACCTGGGAAGTTACAGCTTGGGACTAGAAAATACTGATCAGAACTTCATGTCAAAAACATAGCGCAAAATATAACAAATACAAGAAGAGATTACATCTCTACTCAGCTACCCCGTGTCGGGGCTGAAATACTGTTCTGTGTGCTTGGTACGAGCCGTGTTGAACACACTTGTGGAGCACGTGGCCACGGTCTCGAACTGAATCTCCTTCTGTGGCCTCAAGCGGCTGCATAGGCCGGGGTCTCCCCAGGGCTTGGGTCGTGGGCAGGGGTGATGAGACAGGACAGAGGCACCAGGCTCCTTCTGCAGAMGCAGCTACGTTGCGGTGCATCCAGCTTGAACACAGAGACCAAGAGGATTGACATAACAGTAATAAGGACTACGTGATACCAGATGCTGAAGTCATGAGGTTTCCAATGCTCAAAATCTGATCCTTTTCCCCACTTAGTACGGCTCATTTTCATCCATCTCTTTTGGGCTTTTATCTTGGGAAAAAGACCAAGAAGCAAATGTGCCAGTTTCAGGGACAGGTTGCAGTGTTGGCAGGCACCTTTCCTGCAAGAGAGGCATCTGAGCCAAATGGAAGCAAGTCTGATAATAGTCCATAGACTGCCCTTCTTGCATCTCCGTTAAGATCTGGTAGTCCCCAAAACAAATGAGACATTTCCAGGGCAGGTCAATTTTGTTTAAATAACCCAGTTCCATGTGGTCCACTCTCAGCTTTGTTTTTTTGCTCATGTTCTTTATCTCAAAACAGAATTCTGAAGTGTCGAGTTTTCTGTAGAACTGCAAAGAAAACTGAATCCGGGAAACGCGAGAATCCATCAGGTTGTAACGGCAGATGTTGGAATCGCGGCCAAACGTAGCACTTTCATTGGCGCTGACCTGCTCTCGCTCACAGAAATTGAGACAACGAAACATCATCTTGTCTTCTTGGCAAGGGTGGTAAAAAGTCATGTGGAGACAAGTTAATGTTTCTTCAGTGTCGGCTTCTTCACAAAAGATCATGATGAAATAAGCCCTTAGAACTACAAGAAAGAAGCAAAATCTGAGTATGTAACCAATGGAATACCAAAAAAAAACAGAAAAAAAAAAGTGATACTATAAACAGCCATCCAAGTACTTTACACACCGCTATTTAGTGCCTGTGCATTTACGAAGAAATGACAGCAAATGATGAAACTACTGGYACAAAGACATGCAAGTAGAACATACCCCGCTGGTCATCCTTTCCCATCGCTTTGCCAAGGGCTCCACAGTGGTGACCTCTGCTAAAGGGCAGATCCCCTGTGCTGAACTCTCGCTGACCGTATCAGGGGAGGTGGACAGCCACCTCACACCTACCGCTGTGGACACCTAGCACGTGAGAACGATGGAGAAATACACTACTGTAAACTACTACCTGCTCCTCCTTCGTAAGAATCTCACAAGTAGGGTTTTCTTTGAAAGAAATCTGTCACTTAGCAGGAATGAAATTCAATAAGACCTGTCCTATGGACCTATAACACAACATTAAGGAGTATTTGTGACAGCGTGCGCACTCTTTTACAGTGTACTGCTCTGACAGGAGGATATCAGACAAATAGCTTTTACAAATGAATTCTGACTGTAGGCAGTAATACTTAAAAACTGTAAAAGCAACATGTGGGATCTTTAGTCACATTTTACCTCCTATATTATATAATATAAAAATGTTCGAAATGACTGATGTGACAGTGTGTAAAATAAACCCAAAAGCTGGAATTTCAGAGGGACCAGAAGCAGGAATTGTCACCAATTCCAGTTACTCCGCTTTTGGCTCGCTGCTATCTGAAAATCGCAGTCCCAGCAATGCAGGACAGAAGTGCCATAAAACTAACGAACAAGAGTGGCTTTTGTTATCATTTGAAAAGCTCCTCAAATGCAGCATGAAGGCAGTTGATTATGAATTAAATCCTGTTCCAAAGTCTTGAGTTACTGCAGTGCATTCCAATAAAATGGGACACACTAGAAAACATTGCAGCGTGGTGCCCTGTGCATGAATGGCCAATATTCAGAAGTGATAGTTCCAAATATTCTGGACTGAAACTTATGCTAAAGAAAGAAAAGCCAGGGTAATTACAGTCAGAACCTGAGGATGAGTTGGCAGTTTTGCACCAGAGAAACATCTTATTAAACTGCATTATTAACAAGTTACCAGCCATTTAAATGTTGCAGATGCTGGCAATGTTTTTCCTGTTAGATCTGGGGTAGCTCCCAGCATGTCCTGCTTTTTGATTCTAAACTTTCTCACCAGCTCTGTTCAGTGAATCACTGTTGGAAGCAGTTCACAGTTCAGTCTGATCGGCTCTAGGGCTAGGTGAATTTGCACTGCTTTAAGCAACTAGTAACTTCTTGCTTTTAAAGGTTAAATTTTGATGGCRTTTATAGTAACTTCTTGCTTTTAGAGGTTAAATTTTGACGGTGTTTATCAACTGTAGGCACAGTGAATGGTGTATCAGCACACCCCTTTCTGGGCAAAGCCGAGAATTCTCTTCCTTGCAGAGCTGTAGCAGAACAGCAACGTTTCGGACACACARCCATGGCTGAGGTTCACTTTACCACCCAAAGCACCCACAACAGGGCTTCCACCAAGCTTAGATGTTTAGGGAAACCCCAACCCTCAGGCAGATCTCACTTCAAACCTAAGCAGAAAACAACACGATGCCTGTGAGGAAGGCCGGAGGTGCAYGCTGCAGGCCTCCTCACTGCTCGTACTGCTGTACTGCCCCATCCCCACGGCTGGAAGCACCTGGATGAACTCGGCCTTGGCCCTTGTCCTGCCCCTTATCTGTGCAGCTCTGCGCTTCCCGGTTTTGCTGCAGTGGTAAGTGAGGTGAAATACGTGAGGTCAGCCTTGTTCGAAGGGGAAAAACAGCTCGCTTCCCTTACTCGACAGAACTTCTCTGAACGTCCTCTCGGTGTGCAAGAGAGAAGAGCTTCGGCGAGCTGGCACACTCGACGAGCTGCATTTCTAGTGTAACTCCTGTAGCCTTTATTAGCTGGCTCCTCTTGGAAAGCTCTGCAGAGCTGGAGCTATTTTACTTTTCCTCACACTCTTTCAAGTGCCTTTCACTATGAGGACCTAACTTCTYCAAAGCTTTAACATTCAGAATGGGATTGTCGTCAAGGAATAGGGTCTGTTTTCTAGATGCAGAAAAATGACACTGAGAAATAAGAATGAGGATACCAAATCTGAGACCCTTAGGGCTCCACCTTGAGTGTTTACAATTTTATTTGAGAATTTTAAACTTTCTACACGTGAGCTACAGTTCAGACTGCTCTGCCAGCTCGTTTCCACACACAAGCACATGGGGTTTCAGCCCAAACAGCAGGAACTAGGGGAGTCGCACCCGTCCTGCGGCCGCTCCTCCCTTCAGGGCACGGGCAGCGCTGACGGATGGGATCTGCTCTGGCGGAGGGGATCCGTGGGGCTGGACTCTCCAGAGCGTTACCGAAGCGCTGCTGCACATGCAGCTCCGCTGCCTGCCCTCCCCGCAGCCCACGCCGGGGGCACTGGGGCCATCCCGCTGCCGCCGGGCTCTGCGGGAGCTGCCCCTCGCACAGCCCCGCGCCGGGCGGGCCTGTCCCGCGGCATGGGGCGCAGTACAGCAGCATCCCGTGGCGCGGGGCACAGTACAGCAGCGTCCCGTGGCGCGGGGCGCAGTACAGCAGCGCGGCACCGCGCAGCTACCCGCACACCCACCTGCAACCCGCCACGCGCCCGCGCTCAGCGCCTCTTACCTGCACCCACTGAGCCCTGTCCGGGAGGCCTCTGTCCGGGAGGCCTCTGTCCCGGCCGCGCCGCCTCAGTGCGGAGCCGGGTGGGCCCGCAGCCCCCGTGTCCTCCCATGCCCCCCGGCTCCCTCCGTGTCCCCCCGGGACACCCGTGTCCCCGCGCTCCGGGGCCGCTCGGGGCCGTCCCGGAGCGGGTCGCGCGGTCGCTCCCTCCCGGCGCCACCGCCGTTCCCTCCGCGCGGCCCCCCCGGCCCCTGCGCGGCCCCTGCGCGGCGGCGGCTCCTACC